AGTCATTCTGGTGGATTCTAGGTGATTGCTTGGAAAATCCTGCTTTAGCAGTCAGCTTGCTGTTCATAATGGTGGATTCCATACGAGCGGTAAAGTTGGGCGGATAAAATTGACCCAAGTGTGATTAAATATATGGCGCAGGCGTGGCGTTTGTAGCTCAACTGGGAGAGCATTGGTTTAACGTAAAGGCCGTCTCTACTGTGCGGGTTCAAATCCCGCCGAATGCCGCGAGTTTTTTACACTATAAATTGTAATTTTTTAGGGGTTTGGCAGATTTCAATAATTCGATTGAACCAATTATGAAAAACTCACGGCCCCGGTGAGAGTCGAACCCACACAGCAGGGCAGGCTTCTTCGCAGCCGACGCTCTGCCATTGGACTATGAGGCTCACCGTTCGCCGTGAATTTAATCAAAGTTGGTTCGATTTTCTTGCCCACATTTACCACATGTATGAAATCCACCAATACGGACGCAGTAAGCTCCTACCGGGACGCGAATTTTTCACAGTTGTGTCAATCGAATTATTGAAATCTGTCAATCCTGCCCGGCAGTCAGCTTACTGCCCAATTATTTATTGATTCCATTCATGCAATAAAGCCGTGCAAGCAAATCGGCTTAAATGTGACTAAATTCACGGCGAACAATGAGCCCCGTAGCTCAATGGTACAGCGTTGGCTGCGCAAAGGCCTTCCCTGCTGTGTGGGTTCGACTCTCACAGAGACCGCGAATCTTTCACAATTGTGTCAATCGAAATAAATTGTAATTTATTTTTGCAATTCCACCCGGAGATCATCAATTACTTCTCATTTGACTAGCCCAGATAACCGGTGGATATACTAGTTTATATTCTGCAACTACTTTGACCAACGCGAGGTATTCATATGCCACTTTACCAAATAATCACTGAAGTGTCACGAGGATTGATGACCAGGGATTCACCACCACCACCCAGTGAAGGTAGAATAGTTGCAATTGTAAGTGGGACAAGCAATTAGTCAAGCATATCGAAACTGCTTTTTATTAGGTACGTCACGGGGCAAAAGTCAAAATCAAGGAGAACATTTGAAGAAAGTGGTATAGGTAGAGGGGTGTCGTGCGAAGGACCGCGTGTGTAATGACACGAATAACCTGTTGCAGAGGCAAGAACGTACAACAAAAGAAAAAAGCAAATCGAATATGCGCGGCGCGGGACTGAGTGAATTCAGCGCTTGCCGACTGGGTTCCTGAGTTCTTCAACTAGGAGTGCAGCGTCTCCGTGCTCAGCGGTTTGGGCTTGAGACGACGGTGCTGATGATACCGGTGGGTTGGTCCTACGCGTGATGAATCCGGAGCGGCGGTCCCGGCCTCTTTTAACGAGGTGGCATCTTCCAGATGAAGATGCCGCCGTCCTCACTGACAGTGATCACCAACTTCTGATCCGGTGATATGCGTAGTCGAGTGATTGGCGATGAGTGCCCGAGACCCACATGCGTCACGTCGCCCTCACTGTAGCGCCAAACCTACAGAAGAAATCCAGTGAACAGATACTGATACACATCCAAACATAAATAGGTGAGAATGAAGGAAAAAGTTCGCGTTCCAGGGATTTGCATGAATGAGGAAGAAGGTTTGTCGAGCACCGGATCAATTTGTTTATAGTTCTGAGCTTTTGTGCTCCTGAGGGAGTCCATCGTCAGAGATAAAAGCCACACGACCAATTCATGCGGAATGGTTATCCGAAAGCATTTATAAACCGATGCTTACGCGTACGCCCCCGGAGGACCCAAACAAAAGAACCACCGAGGATGCGGCACGCTCTGCCATACATCAAGGATGTTTCAGAAACGACCGAGCGCATCGCTGCGGGACTTAGCCTCGGAATCGCACACCGTCCCAAGGCTATCATGCGCAACCGGGTAATGAAAATAAAGGACCGGCTGAACCCCAATGAACAATCCGGGATAGTGTATCGCATCCTATGCTTAAGCTGTCCTTGTAACTATACGGGGCAA